ATTTTTCATTTTTTTAAAATTTGTAATCTATTGGAGAGAAGATAAGTATCATGACGATATGATATGGCGTTTAGTGTGGTAAAAGTGATGCAGTTGAAAAGTCATTGGAGAATATTTAAAGATAAACTTAAGTTCTGGTAATGCGATTGCATTGAGAAAGAAAAGATGTGGAATGGATCAGAAAAGTTGATCATATAGCATGTAAGTAATGGTGTGTAATGCAAGGCTCTGGAGTCATCAAAATCATCATAAATTTGGCAGAGTCTTGGTAAAGTAACAATCACTTACACAGAAAGATGTATATGGGACAACACACATGGTATTGGGGCTAGTACTACCCTGACTTCCTTATCTTTCTATGCTCATTACTCAGCCAGTATACACTTTCTTCCAAAATTGTTTGGCACATGACATTTATTTGTAATCTTGAACATATAGTGTAAGTTTCGTTAGATTCTGTGAGAATTCATTTTCTTTTTTTACCAGAACTCAAGTTTATCTTTAATGAAAATAAACGAAAATGAGAAGACATGTCATTATTTGTGTGGAGATTCAGCTTTATGTTGTCAACGACAAAAAAGAAACATTTTGTTATGGGTCACAAACGTAATTAATATATCAGTTTAGAAAAATTGTCATTAAAACCTTGCAAGATATTGGTCATGCATATTGTATGCGCACACATGACTTCCTTGAAAAGAATAGGAGTTGATACGGTTGCTAAAGCAACACAAGGTGAGGCAAATGAGGGCATCTTTCGACATGGAGGCCAAATTGTATATTGAAAAAAGGGTATGGGATCCTATTCTGCGGAACGGTTATGTTAGAAAGAGAATTTAACGTTAACCAGAAATCATATTGATGATAATTATGGAAAGGAAAAGATTGATTCCTTTGAAAATGCATATTAGTTATCACTCAGCGGAGAGAGAGCGATACATTCAGAAGTAATCATGAAATTCAACGTGGGAGTGAGACGTGAAGGTAATAATAATGCCTGTTCACGATGCATCATTTCGCTTGCGTTATTCCTTGCGCTAATGAAGTACGTGAAGGGCAAACAACCCCTGTACTTATAACTCGACATAATATCATTTTGCAATATTCTCCTTGCATTTGACTTCAACGATAACGCTCTCACATGGTGCGTCAACGACCGCGCCATTCGCTGACGCAGTACTTGACGCATCGTGTGCAATGGCTGTAAAGGATACTAAAATGATGTAAAAATCAATCGCTGTGTTTGTAAAGTGATTTATCGATAAATATATATGGGAATATCAAAATCATATAGCTCTGCTAGTAAGAACTTGGTGTGTATATAGAACAGAGTACTTGTCTTGAGTGTTTTAAGTCAAGGAATATGAAGATTTTTTTCTAGCAATTTTTTTCTCCATATATGTATACAATATTCTCCAAATAACTTGTATAGCATTTAAGTATCTTAAACCGCACTTCTCCGACCCACAACCTTATCAGGGAATTTATCAAATAACCAAGGAGGAATAATTCAGTGTCTAAGTGCTCTACTCTATCTTCTCATCCAGCCTGTTATACTCTTACAGGATATTGGTGAGCTCTTCAGCCTTTAAGGATATTAATGCGGTCTTGGAAGTGTATGAACCATCTAATAAGTCAAATTAAAGGAGTTTAAGCTTTTAAGAATACTGCGGAAAATATATCGAGTGGTGGGGAGGTGGGGGGGGGGGGGGGTGGTGAGACATTTCACTGTCCAGCTCAAACCTGCAAAAACAAAAATGAAGTTGGATTGTATTATTTGAGGAATTTATCATATATTTTTTCATCATAAACACATATATATATATATATATATATATATAAACACACATACATACATACATACTTACACAATAATATTATCTGAATCGCTTAGTGTAGGCAACACACATTATGATTAGATTAACATAACTGTAATAAAATGATATGCACCTTGTGAAAAAAAAGCATTTTAATTTCCGTGTAGGCCAAAAATGCCATTCTTTTGCGTTCAAGGTAACATGTGGTTTTAATAATCATTAACATGTAATGAATGCGGGCGAAAATGACATAACAACTAAATCAGTACCTCGGGGTATTCATGGAGTTTCTATATATACATCTCCATCTACTCAATTAAGCCTCTTTTCATGTGTCTAAAAGGTTATATTATCATAATTGATGAAGGCGATGGTAATTTTATACCTGTTTAGGCTACAACTTTCCATTCCCACGTACTACAATTTGAACTGTTCTTAACATATGTTTTTGACCAGCATCTTCTACAGGTTGTACTTAAATGACTTGAATATAATTGCATTGTTACAACGGGAAAAAAATACACCTAAACATGGATAAAGATCATGTTTTAGAGAGACAGGAAGTTAATTGAAAATATTGGCAAGCTCTACACTGGGAGTCTGGATTAAGTTAGAAAGTGATGGCCTTAGTATTGTGTAATATTACCAAATATAGTTGCTCTTTTCACGTTTGAACCTCCCCCCCCCCCCCCGAGCAAGATTGAATAATGCCCAACTTATTGCATAATTTGTCATGAATTGCTAAGTCTCGTGATCAGAAATGTATTATATGTATCTTTAACAAAAACGTTTCAAAGCTTACAAGACCTGAACCTTTAATTAAAGATTTTAATCTATAATATCTGACAGATGGAGCATGATATATAGGTCTGTCAGGTTATGAAACCCAATTTTGTTAAGGTTCCGTTTTGTCTAGATTGATTGAGCGAGCACGTTTCCATTGTAATTAGATCTTCTTTTTCAAAATTCTTCCATTCATTCTCCAGGCTGTGATATTAAAAGGGGTTAAACATGTACACTGTATTATGTTTATCAACTGCAGAAACCGTGCATACGAGATGCAGAAAATGACGGAATATTAGCATCAGCGGTTCCAAGTGAAACAGCATACCGAAGAAAGAAATAAAACAAAGATAGAAAAAAGAAGAGAAAAGATTGATTGAAAAAAGTATGAACCGGCAGAAGAATACAAATTTCAATCATAAATGTCATTCACTTCTCTTCTCTGACTCCCAAGTATTAGGTATCACTTTAATTTCCTCTTAAAACGAGCATATTTTTCTATTTCCTTTATACCATTGGGAAGGGAATGAAAATAAAATAAATATAGGAGCTAAAGAGAAAAGAAAACTTAAGGTACTATGAAAGAGATGGAAAGATAAGAAACGAAAAGAAAAAGAAAGAGAGCATGCTGTAACGATAACTGTTTTATCTGTCTTTTTGTTTCTTGACCTGGATTGACACAATATTTTAAATCAGTATCCTTCTCAATTTGTCAAACAATGTAATATAATTATAGTTCAGATATTAACACGTCTGTCAGAATAAGCTCCCTTTGACATGTTAGATGTATGTAGCTACAGGTTGGCATGATACATTGATAGCAAATATACCTGAATAAATGTATTGTAGCCAACATGTTTGCAGGGCTCTCAAAGAGAGCAGTCTTAATACTGATGAGGGTCTATCCTCGGTACACAAGGGATACTATATTTTGTAATATTCTCTATACGGCCTCCAATTTCCTCACCTTCCATCGCCCAAGTTAAGCTCGTCAAACATCTTTCAATTGGTGACATCGTATCCATGTCCGTTCAGTACATATTTAATATTTATCATCAACTCGTCTTCGTGTTTGCATTTTCATCCGAGGTTTAGACTTCTAAAGAGCAACCTTCATGTCCATTCTCTATCCAATTTCTCTCTCTCTCTCTCTCTCTCTCTCTCTCTCTCTCTCTCTCTCTCTCTCTCTTTCGTTTCCCCTCTTTATCACACTCTCTCCCCTTTTCTCTCCCCCTCTCTCTCACTATCTCTTTCTTTCTCTCTCTCTCTCTTTCTCTCGCTCTCTCTCCATCTCTTTCTCTCTCTCCCCCTCTTTCTCTCTCTAACCCACACACAAATCCTTCAATAAACTGCATTTCCCCCTGAAAAGCTCTCGATACTCTCTTTCTTTAAATTGGCAAGTCCTACCATTGACCCACAAGAAAGCTGCAGTGGGATAATAAGGAAAATATACAGAAAGGAAGAAAATTAAAGAGAGAGGAAGAAAGAAAAAAAGAAAGAAATACTGAGGAATAAAAATATTGAATGTACATGTAGCTAATCTCCCATGTGTGGTATAGAAGTAGGTTTTATACCCTTGTGATAGTAACAATATTGGAGTTTATTTCTATTTATTTTCCATATTTTTACAGTTCCTTTAAATAACAAATATATTCAACGAATTTTTTATTTCATTATTATTGACATTATCATCCACCGATTATTCGTGCCCACTTTAAGGTACTATGTCCCATTTGCAGGCCAAAAAATGAAAATGTTTAATTCCAACGGCATTTGAAAGATGACACTAATTTAAAACTTCCCTAAAAAAGGTGGGGCTTGAAAATGTCTTCAAGTGGGAAAATAACGACTTTTAGTTGTCAAATCGACTTAGGAGCTATATAATAGTCTTGATTTTCAGACCATTGCACCGAATGGTCATACGTTTGATGCTGCGCAAAGATTCAATCAGTTTAATTTTGGCCATCACAAGAAGTGGGATATTGATGTAGACAAATGCTCATATACCCTTCACAGCTCATTTTATGTATGTTATTAGAAGAAAAAAAGCAAATCAGTCACTCAATAGCGTCTGACAGTGAAGTCTAGCAAGTAAACGGGTTTCCTTGCATAATTTGAATATTAGGACACTGCTAACGTTTAAATTTCACAGATAGGACATACATGACATCGTTCCTGTTTTCACAAAGTGACGGTAGTGAGGAAAATCTGCACGCAAATTGTATGCGATTTTCATTCACTGCCGTCACTTCGTGAAAATAGGGACGACATATTCATAATTCCTGCAAAGCTCTACAGAATTTGAGGTTTGCCGCAAAAGGGACATAGTACCTTTAATCTAATACTTCAGTAACCTTTATGGATGATCATTTAATAACGTCCCTTTTTATTATTTTGTAGCACACTCCTGAGCAGCGCCCTCTCCGTTCTGCTCTCCAAATGGGGAATCCCCTCCTTCAACCTGGCGTTCAACGTTGTTGCTGTCTCCTTCATAGCAGCCACCGGTCCGCACAACCCTCACTTCCCCCAGCAGGGAGGGGGACCTAGCCCGGCAGCATGGGGAGTCGAAGCATTGGATTGGCTTCAGGTTCGTTCCTGTATAATTATGCGACCCTCGTACAACTACCAGCATAACAACCCTTCTCCGACAAATACTACTCTGACAGACCCCCCCCCCCATAATACTACTTTTTCTTAATAAATGACCAGCCACCATCATCGAATTCACTTTCTTAAGGTGTGACTGTTGTTGTTGGGGGGGGGGGGGGGACGTCGTCCGGTTTGTGATTGTCCTAGATCGTGACGTACCAAAGCAAGGGAAGGGGGCGGTGGGGGGGGGGGGGTCAATTTTGACTTTGGGTGTTTCTTGTCCTAGAGGAGTGATCTGCCGGAAATAAGATTGAAACAGTCCCTGCCAAAGGCCTATTAACAACTTGGTTAGCTTACAATTTAATTCATGAACCCAAAACCCCATATCCAAAAAAAACCCACAAAACACACCATTGTTTATCATGTTCAATATTAAAGATCGGAGCCCGTATTTGTTCTCGTTCTTGCTTCAAATATATTTTGAAGATAATCTCTAGAAATGTGCTAATGAATGATATAGGAAATATTATACGACCGAAATATATGTATGTGTTGATGTGTATCTTCGTGATGGGAATAGTGTAAAAACCCAATCTCCTCAAAGTATAAATTTTACGCAGGCCCTCAAAATCGTTACTTTTTAAAAACACATTTATCGGGTCGAAAGACAACCCTGAGGTGTTTTGACTCTAATCAGAGATGAAAATTGTTAATTTGTGGCAATAAACCCTAGGGAAATCATTCGTCTGCTGGTTCAGAACGATCGTTATGAACGTGTTAAGATCCTTTTTAGAAGAAGACGAATTATCAGATGTTAGTATTATTTTTTGCTTCTTTCCGATCTATAACGACCATTGCTGTTTGGTATTTCCTGATGGAATTGCTCTACATCCAATCTTGATTTGTAATAGGGGTTTCAGTATGACTGTGTCACTCTAGTGTGAAATTCCATAAGTCATGTCATCGTAAAATATTTTGATTCGGGGATCGATGAACGCTTGGAAATCGCAAAGCATGCTGGAAGTGCAAAATTAAAATCTCAAATTGGAGTCGGACAGATAAAGCGTTGAAAAGTAGGCATAGAATTTAAAGACGGTATGAATATGTAAATTTTGATAGCTGACATTTTACTTTTTAAGGGAGGAGAAGGGGGCGTTGAGAGAGCAATGTAAACTGTCAGCATTGTTTATACATGTATTAGGATTATTTTTTATTTTTTTTTGTATTCTTGGCCCTTAGTATTCAAATATTGGTTTGATGAAGAATTTTTTTATTTTTTAATTTTTTTTTTACTACTATAATCCTCATGATAATATGAACAATATTATGGTATTTAATTTGTTTTCTCCCCGCACCTTTCTCTCTCTCTCTCTCTCTCTTACTCTTTCTCTCTCACTTCCTCCCCCCTCCCCTCTCTTTCTCCCCTCCACTCTCTCTCTCTCTCTCTCTCTTTTTTCCTTTCTCTCTCTCTCCCCCTCTCTCTCTCCCCAGTCCACTCTCTTTCTCTCTCTCTCTCTCCCTCTCCCTCTCTTTTTCTTATTTTACAGGTACTAGCCAGCATCCCACGAGGTATAGCCCAGTGTTATGGCAGTGATAGTCTCATCACGGGTTGTTTAATGAGTCTTGGTATGCTGGTATGTTCCCCCATCGTCTTCAGTCACTGCTTGTTAGGCTCAATACTGGGCGCTTTAACGGGTAGGTATTTGTTTATCATTATGTCATTACTTTTTTTCCCCGAAAAAAAGCCCATTTCTTCTTTTAGAGAGAGAGAGAGAGAGACAGAGAGAGACAGACAGAGACAAAGAGATAGAGGTGAGGATAATGACAGAAAATGAGACAGAGAGAGAGAGACAGAGAGACAGAGACAGAAGCAAAGAGATAGAGGTGAGGATAATGAAAAAAAATGAGAGAGAGAGAGAGAGAGAGAGAGCATTTTGGAAGGTCGTATACGACTTTATAAGCGTGTGCTTTAAGTGTGTTCACGAGAGTGTTATTTCTACAGCACTAGTAGTCTACTTGGGTTGGCAGGTTTTCGGCTGCAAGAAGACAAATTGCATCTCTCAGTCCGAGTTTGGACACTCTCTAGTTAATAGTTTCTTTCTTTCTTCCTCTATCAACATGTTACTGATTAACATCAATCTGTAATGGTGCTACAGCTCCGGCGTCATCACCTAAAGCTCGAAGTGTGTTGCTTTGACTGATATCTTGAAACACTTTGGTAATAATCCGTACGCAGGGGTGGGACCACTGTATGTTTAAGGATCGCAGAATTTTTAAGCGGCATAGATCTTGAAAATGTTAAGCAATCAATAATGGTTCTTAATCAACGTCACAATATCGCTTGATATCCCACTGATGTTTACTTTGCAAAGCGATACATGGAATAAATATATAACTTTCCATCAGAGAATTAAACAGCCTTGCCTCTTCCAAAAGATCCCTTAATTAAGACATACACATGTACTTCTTCCCTCAGTAACTAGATACCATTTATATCCAATTTGATGAGTCCATGTATTTCATGTTTCTTCTTCTCATTTTGGGATTTTGTCAGCGCTTTGATAGTTTTAGTTTTTAGAGATTTTAAATGATCGATACTATTATCATTATTATCATTATTATTTATATTATTATTATTGTACACATGATTTGTTTCTTTCTTATCCCACATCCTGCATATCTTTGTCTTGTTCACCTTGCTTATCGTCTGTTTGGAGCAAGTCGTGTGTTAGATAAACACTTTACCGAGTTACATGGACGCAAATGCCTGACAATACCAATATGCGTGGGCATTGCCCAACATACATTATGCAACATACCTATTTGTAAAATAATTTCTGCTTGCACCTAACACCCATTTTGTTAATTACAAGATCGAGCACGCGATCCTTATTTACTGTGTGTAAGCCGAAATTACTCCAAGGAAACCTAACATTCATAACTGACTAATGTTGGAACGTTGCGACAAAAAAACACCACATGTAGATATAGCATATTAGTAAGTGAATCTTACTGAATGTTGGCCCATCTTATTATTTCCCATTTCACTTTCCTTCATCTCTCTACTTATATGTATTCGTGTCTGCCCATAAATTGACGCCAGCATAATCTTATTTCATGCATTCGATGCCTAAGCGATGGCATGCTCGGCTTCAGTGTCACTCCGTCAGGCATTACTGCAGGCTAATGCTGAATTTTATAGTCGGACACCACAACTAAAATCAGCAGCATTGTTGAAACAAGACATGTTTTATTACTAACCATGCTATACCATCCACTCCATTTTAATTCCATTGGGAACCTGTCTACTTCAGCGATCTGTTTATGTCTATGGTCAAGAGTGTGTATATTTACGTAATTCGAGTAGGTTGGGTTCCTTTTCAAGCTGTTCGAATTTGGTTTGAGAGCTACTACATCAAAGATGGGAGGCAAGAGCAATCCATTTGTGGTTCTCTCTTCTTCTTTCCTTCTTTCGTTTGACGTTTTCCAGCTGAGTTGACAAATGCTGGTTCTATGAAAGCAGTATTGATAGCTAGATTGCCGGGCGGGTGGAGAATGATGTATCCTTACCATGACATTTCAATTTCAATTTATATTGCTATTGTTAATAATTGTTTAATGGAAATTTGATTTAATCACATTTTACAAACAAGTTTTCATTATATAATATGCGTAAATATCATAGTAAATATAGATATCATGACATAGATATCATACGCAACATAATTATATACAAAAACAAAAAACGAAATCTTAAATTTTAATTGTAATTCGGGGTTTTCATCGATATTAACAAGTAGGTGAACAAATTACAAACGACATATATTCATATATTCTGACAAGCAAATAGGAAGAAACTTGGGATTACAGATCTTATTGCATACAGACCAATGATATCGCGTATGTACACGGAACGTCTCCCGACATAAATATGAATAGTGATAGTTATTTGCGATCCTGAGTGATGACAGGTTAATAGATATGTGACATGACCAGAAAAATGCAAAAGAACTTGATATTACGTAGCGGACAGATGGTATGTACGGAGAAAGAAAGAGAGAGGAACAAAGGCATATAGGAAACGTTGAGTTCGGCAGTTCATTGCTCACGGTTGTTTAGCAGAGCGCATAAAAACATAAAAATGACACGATTTATATTCATTTAGGTATAATCCCGCTTAAGGAATATTTTGATAGCATTATCTGAGACTAGAAGTGGTCGTAATAATCTACAAAACAAGATGAAAGAGGACATATTCTTTCTAACGGTGTAAATGTAACATTGAATTTCTCCATTTCTTCTTTTCGTTTCATATCAACCAAATAATCAAGTAATGATCTTATACATGATGCCGTCATCAATTTCAAGACCATGTCAAAATTATAGAAATAATCAATGTATAGTTTATTGGTACCTATACGCTTAGCAACGCAATACAATTACCACATTCCCTGATGCAATGAGCAATCGAATGGAATTTCTATCATGTGCAAGGCAGTGCATTAAAGGTATAGACCAGTTTTGGAAATGCCCCCTCTCAAAAAATGAAATGGAAGCTCTTATTACAAATCATGTAATAATAATAAAAATAATAATAATAACGTTTTATTTACCTAGGGTAGCCACTTCAGTTATGGAACTGCTCTTCCAGCGGGCCCTGTATAACATAATATGTTATTACTACCCTTCTCCAATCTAATTTGCTGAGCGCCTAGCTAGAAGGCAGAAGGTCCCATTGTTCCAAGTCTTTGGTATGACTCGGCCGGGGTTCGAACCCACGACCTCCCGTTCATGAGGCGGGCGCTCTAACCACTGAGCCACCATGCCCGGTCTAAGTAAAAGAATATGTTTTGACTAATTATGTGGAGATACAAATTTTCCCGGGAAACAGCCTACTAATTGATATATATTTGGTAAATTATTATATCTATCCATTCCGGATAGATATAATAATTTATCGCATAGTCCCCTATACATCTTTTTGTGTACAGGGCTTGTAACTTTACCAAGACTGGGCCAAATTTCTTATCATTTTGATGATTCCAGAACCTTGCAGTACACACCAATACTTATATGCTGATCGATTCCACAACGTTTCTTTCACAATGCAATCGCATGACCAGTACTAGTCTTTACCTTTAATGATATTCATTATATTCAGTTTTAGCTGACGATAGTCATTCTGGCATCGCTGGATGAGAATCTTCCTTGAATGAATAATACCCGGTCACCCCGCTTTACATCGTCGAGGTGGAGGAGGGGGGGGGGGGGATAAATCGGCAATTGTTCTATAGACACATCGTAGTGTTGTGGTCATGCGGTGGTTAAACAAACATGCCGGGAAGAAACAAGAAAACGTTGATTATGTGGGCACATAATTCCTCATTAACCTTTATGTAAAGTTTCAGGTTTTAGATTCATCACATATTATGAAAAATAGCTCAGTCTTGCCGAAATTCGTATGCATACAATCCTACACTATACCGAAGGACTACACAAACTTATGAAACGACCGTATGGTTCAAACATTTCAGCTGTTTATTTTTATGTTTCGAAAATGAGGGCATATGAAGAGCCTTTTTTCAGGGGACTTTTTCTTCTTCTATAATTTAATCCATTAAAAAAAGAATTGAGATGCTCACACATTATTATTCTACCTCTCGCAAGACTAAATATTTTCTTTAAAAGGTTACTATGCCTCTGTAGTTGGCAGAGCGGATGGATCTTCTAGGGAGTAACCGCTTGACTGTAGATGCGAAGGTCGAGGGTTCGAATCCCGACACGGCACTAATATCCTTTGGCAAGATATTTACCTGCACTTGCTACTCTCCACCCAGGTGTTAAATGAGTACCCGGTAGGATGCGACCGTTCATGTGGTTGAACGAGCAAGTGTGCGCTTGTAAAATGGCGACTGGTTGGAATGCTCCCCAGGGAGTAGAAAATGTGCCCACATTGTGTGCGGGTAAGCCTGAATCCGATGACCGGGGTAATAATATATCTGTAAAGCGCTTAGGCACATCGTTGGATCGATGTATTGAGTGCTATATAAAAAAAAACGGATTATTATTATTATTATCTGAGAATGTTTGCAGCAGGGTCCTTCACGATGGTCAACATTCCTGATACCAGTTTCACATCTACTAAAGATGTGACACAAACCACATACTACAGTGGTAAAATCCCTGTCCCTCGGATACGGCGTTAAGGGAAGTTCTCATGTGGAAACGAGGGTCCCCACCTACGCAGTCAAAACGTACTGAACCCTTCTTAAAAGAGCAGGGGGAGGGGGGGGGGCGGCCGTTGTAATGCTTCAACTGCACATCCCAATCGGGTATACCGAGAGAAGTGACTCGATGGTCATAGTGATTTACTTCGCTTTTCCCCTCCCAGGCACAGGTGATGCCAAATACATACAAATGACGCAATGTTCCTTACAGTTAAATTGGTAGATACTTTTCAATGATTGTCAACCTTTTGCATTAAAGTATAGAAATTACCACTCTGGGACGGTATAAGTACACATTTCGAGCTCCTAACGGACTTAACTCGTTAAAGTCGGCATGGTCGGTGCCTTATGGATCGCATTCATAACATCATGAGAGAGATTCTCGAAAGTAAATCGCGTCAACACGCTCCACTGACAACCTCTGCACTTACAGCACTATCGTCCCCCAAATTCGATTAATATGAGTCAAGAAGATGAAGATGATCCATGTCTATCTCTTCATATCCATACTTCATTACTCTTGTTAGGTGCTTTTTCTTCAAGGTCATACTGAAGCTATGGTATCTTTGAATTAATCACACTCGATGGGCCTTGAGTGCTGGGAGCGGATAAATTGGTTTTGATATGCCCGTCTTGAAGACTTAGCGCGGGAGTAAATAAGATTAGGGAGCTGTTTGAAGAGTAGCGAAGGTGACATTAACACCAATTTAAAAATATTTACTGTCCGAGAAAATGTGGAACGAACATTTTCCTTGGGATTATTACATCAGCGAGGGTAGGCCATTTCAAAGAAAATATGAGTCGTATAAACAAGATGCGATTGTTGTACACGCTTGTATGTTTGCAGTGAATGGTTTGAGATGTCAGAGAGTGCATGTATGTTCTATTAAGGAAAGAAGAGAGAGACAGAGAGAGAGAGAGAGAGAGAGAGGGAGAGAGATAGAGAGAGAGAGAGAGAGAGAGATAGGGATAAAGAGTGAGTGAGAGAGAGAGAGAGAGAGAGAGCCCTGGAGAGACAGTAGATGTGCAAGAAATACTTTGAGATAGAGATCTTAAATCGAGAGAATCCGGTAGAGACAGAGACAAAGGTAGACGGGGGACAAGAAAAGACAACCAGACTGTGGATTTGGATAGAGAGGGGTTCGAAGAAGGATATGCAAATAAACAGACAGACATACATGTTCATACAAAGAGAAAGAAAGAGAGAGAGAGAGAGAGAGAGAGAGAGAGAGAGAGAGAGAGAGAGAGAGAGAGAGAGAGAGAGAAAGAGAGGGGTATAATGGAATTCGATGCCAGACTTTTCCCCTTTATAATGCAGTATATGTTCATTTGAAGAAGATTTTATGATACACACATGAGTCCATACAAAATTTGCCAGATTCATCTTTTGTCCTTCTAAAAAAGAAGAATGTAATTTACATTATTCGTCTGAGTAGAATATAACACATCTCCTCTGAGTGACGCTGATGCTTTCTTTACATGACTTATTTTATTGTCATTATCCCCTTCCTTCTAGGTCTGGCTCTTGCAGCTACCCCAGCAGACATCTATAACGGAAGCTGGGGATATAATTCGGCTCTCACATGTGGGGCGATAGGGGGCGTCTTCTATGTATTGAATTGGTCGTCACATTTGATGGCACTTATTTCTGGTAAGTCAAAGTATGCGATCCGGAGAAGAGGGAGAAGGGTATGATAATCTTGAACACACATTACACCATTCAATCAGGGACATGTATTACCTCCATCGTTGCTACAACATTCAATCTAAGAGCTCGATACTAAGTTGTATAATTGAGCGTTTTTCAACCGGTACCCTTTAAACAAATACAAAGTTTCGCGTCACTCTAATTCTAAATTCATCATAGAAGATTAATTTTGCATCACTCTGGCATTAGTAAGTCTTTACACGTAAGGGCACATTTTTTTCTGTAAATGTTGCGAGTGAGCAAAGCGACCGACGTAGGAAGATACTTTATTGACTTAAGAATGTCATTTCCTAACATAGGTGCATAGCGATTTGTAATATTATGTTTTCACTAAATTTATATTATTCCAAAATGAATATTGATATAAATACAGTTCTCTCGCGGCACCCCAAGAGATGTCCTGCGGCACTCCGGTTGAATGCAATTGAATCAGAATACGGTACCATGATAATGATAGTAAATAAAATAGGGAGAAAGGAATGAACTAAAACCAAAATAACATTGCAACACACTGTAGTTTAAGTATTTCCTTCAGTTTTATTACTTTTTTCTTTGCACTTCTCTAATCTGTAAATCTTTTCTTTACCCGTCTCCACAGCCATCTTCGCAGCTATGGTGAGAGGGGCAATGGCCCGATTTTTCGCTGCTGCCCAGGTCCCCGTGGTAGCCTTCCCCTTCTGCATTGTAGCTGCTCTCTTCTTATTGGTGGACAGCAACACCAAACAGCTTCTGCGCGTGCCCGGTGACCGCATGACCTACCCGGAAGAACATCGTAAACTTTTCAAGTCGACCACTGTTGGAGTGACGAACGTACAACCCGATCAAGACCCGACGTAGCTCAAGAAAAAGAAACATTCTGAACGACAATCAGTGTTTGTTTTGTATAACCTTGAACACACAAACTATGAATAATTTGATAAAGGATTGCTCTTGCATGGTGAATGTAGTTTCTTTTTAAGGACGACTTCATGCAACACTAATCTTCACATGGAGAATGACGTCAACGAAGAATTTGAATGCTAACGAGGTCAATTTTCAGGGCATTGGAAATGCTGGGCATTTCTTCTTTATTTTGTTTAAAACAAAAATTATATCTGCTTATCCTGGCATACGGAATAATAATCAAACTACTCTGATCTTATACTTCTAATTTACGAATTATACATTGGACCTGGGTTCATGATTACACACTTACAATTATTACTCAATTATGAGCAGGATAATTAATTTTAATATACTGACCAAGTGTCAAGTAACTTTTGTTTGTATAAAATCGAAACTTTATTTCCGCGGAGAATAATTTCAATGACTAAGCGCGCCTCTGGATGATATGAACTGAAATATTAATACGTCTGATTATGAAACGTTTCGTGTCAAATGCCGATTTCTTTTTTTATATCGAACTTCGCAATTATTTTTTGAGGCCCTTGTAAGAAAGGCTGTTATCATGATTGCAACTGACAAACCATTTTGTTGTTATTGTAGTTGTTAAATTGTCCTCTTCTCTATGGTGTATCGTTTTACATTTGTCTATTTTTTACTCATTTTAAAACAATTCAGTTTGGGTCCTAAGTTATATGCTTTAAGTTAAGTAGAACGGTTTGTTCAAAGAATATGGAAAACATCCACTGCTCTCGACGTAATGCTTTTTAACAACAGATCAGTGATTTGATTTTGGCAGTCAATGATTGATATGAGTAAAACATGAGCAGCGCCCGCTATAGAACTATATTTCATAAACTCAAGATTTAGTAAGCAATGCTCTATTCACTTCCGAATACAAGGGAAAAATACAGCAATAAAATAAAATTAATACGGTGGGATAAACTTGCTTATGCTTATGCTTATGGGCACAACCCAGTTTTTATAAAATGATAATTAACAATATCGGATTGAATCAGAGCATTTGTTGCTTTGACTCTCATTTCAAACAAAAAGGAATACATGTTCAAATTCTTTCAATGTCAGAAGAACAATAACTTTACATAGCTCGGCGATCCAGAATGAGTGAGGATCAAAGATAATACATTAGGAAAACAAATGCAATATAACAAAATACCTCGGCCACTCTGCCGAACCGACAGATTATAGGCTATATTGTGTATTCCTGTTTTTATTATTATTGATATTATCATCGGTATTACTATTAGTATTGATATCTTTATTTTTTGATATCATTACTATTATTATAACATTATTATACTGTTATTGTTTTTAGGTTATTATTATTACTAATATTATTGCTATTATTATTGCTAATAATATTGCTATTATTATTTCTTCTATTATTCCTATTATATTTACTTATATTATTGCTATTATTTGAACAGTGTTTTAAAGTATTATTTTTACTATAATTGTTATTATTTTTTATTATAATCATTGCTATTATTATTAATTTCATTATTATAGTATTACTATCTTTAATCATTAATTATTATTAATTATTATTATTATTCTTATTATCATTGTTTTTTTACAATGTTATTATTAATGTTATTATTAATATTATTATTATTATTATTAATACCGTGAGTAATATAGTAATATACTGTTCTCCACTGTTTCAACTCGCCTGTATTTTTAACCCATAACAGACCACATAACACCATTGAATACATACATTTTAGATATTCAATGGAAAAACAGCATTTGTAGATACTAATTTTGTATAATTTTCTGGAACATTTCTTGTGTTTGCGTGTTTTTTGGTGTTGAGTTTTATGTGCGTCGTAACAAAAAATAATCAGCTTAGTGGTAAGGCCATTCTGGGTTAAACTGTTTTTCCTTCATTTGCTTTAAGTATTCACTTCACTGGATAGCATCGGGTAATATTAAACTGCAATTAATAGAAGCTAGTAATTTTATCACTTAGCTTCAATGTAGTCTCCCCTTTTGTCCTCGATGCGTTAGGCCTATAATATTAATTTCATTTTCTTTGGATAACATATGTAAATATTAAAGATTAGATTTTTACAGAATAAAAATTTGTATAACATAATCACTTCTTATTTTTCGTCATTTTTAAAAAATTTATTTATTTATTCATTTATTTTTTATTTTATTTTTTTTTTGGGGGGAGGGGTTAGATTCTTCAATTATCCTTATTCATAAAGAATATATAGATGTAGTCAAAATAAAGAGTGAGAAAAAGGATAGCGTAGGAAAATGAGAAAGGTTACGAGGGAGGAGCCAATCAGAATGCATTCATTTATTTATTTACCATTTTCAAATAATAGTGCATAATATAAAAACTAAAAATACATTTCTGACAGAAAGATGTTTGACGTGAATCCTTCGAACATTAACAAAAACGTTAACAGCTCGATTTTCTATTGAAAATAGTATATGAACGGAAATTCCGATACTTTTAATATTTATCTTCAAACACGTAGACCACATTGATAAATTACAAATTAATTATACAGAGATAGTGAGGAAAATCAAAGGCAGAGAGAGAGAGAGAGAGAGAGGGGGGGGGGGGTAATAATAATGATGAAACAGACAGATATTGAGCCATTCATTTGGAATGTTCCATGATTCAATCATCACAATCATATCCACAATGAAGGTTAGGACACACAGTCCCCAAACACACCTGTGTTTACACGCCCATGTTCGTATACGCCCAAGTAAAGTAATTCCACACCCTTTCAAAGTACAGTTTTTACTCAATACTAATGTCATGATCTTAAGCAAGATCTAATCGATGTTGTCCTTCATTCACATCATTCCTAGTCTTCAGAGTAATAACTAAATTCTTATGAACAGTTTCTTTCTTTCTCAGTGTAGGCCGAATCGCTTCAGTAGAGTTCTACTTTATAGTTAACCTTTAAATAAAATTATCAGAATAAAGTAAGAACAATCTGCGCCAAAAACAGAGAAATAGTTTTAAAAATTCAAATAAATCCATTGCCATTTGTAATCGATAACGGAGAAAGTCAAAGGCTGGTGTCAACTCGATAGGGCAGCAATCAACAATCTTGTAAATATCATTAATGATGTTTATTAGGAGGTTCTATTTAACAGAGAAAGAGAGAAAGAGAGAGAGAGAGAGAGAGAATGAGATAGATAGAGAGAGAAAGAGAGAGAGAGAGAGAGAGAGAGAGAGGAGAGAGAGAGAGAGAGAGAGAGATAGAGAGAGGCAAACGAGCGGAACAGAAATACAAAGAAATTGCATTATTGTATTTCATGTATTTCAGCACAAGATCTTTTAATGATCTATTAACACTATTTAGAGATTTAGGTAGAGTCGTCTCCGAAATCAAATGACAATATTCAATACTTTACAGTCGCCTATTGCTTTTGTGATTAGCAAAATGTACAACAAAAATATATCATAATTGGGATAATTCGTATACATGCAAGTTTCTTAACCATTTACTTACAATAATAAATTGACACAATTGCTGGTTTATCAGGAGTGCTGATCAAAGAAAAAGTCACCACAATTTTTCCAATAAGATTAACAATTTTCAATGGGTAAGGCGATGAGAAAATAAAAGAGGTGTCGTGGTCGAGTGGATACGTCGACGGACTGTCAATCTTAAGGTCCGCGTTTCGAGTCTCGCCGCGGCATTAATGTCCTTTGGTAAGACATTGATCTACATTTGCCACACTCAACCCAGGTGATGTAAATGGGTACCTGGCAGGAATTTATTCCCTAAAATGCTAGAGCACCGCAGTGGCTGCCTTGAAAGCCAGGGTAATAATCGGGGCAGCCCCAGGAGCGTCACAACGTGACGGACATGTGCGCTATATAAGAAGCCACCATAATTACTACTATTAAAAGGAAAAAAGGGATATACATGAAAGACGTGGAGAAAGAGAGAATAGGTGAAATTAAAGTTGAATCTACTTTGGGATAATAAACATATCGTGCGACTGGCGCGACTTGCTGTTTAAAGAGAAGGTTGAGTTCTAGGAAGAGGTGAAAAATAATTTGTGTTATCATTGTTATCATTGTTATTATGCAAGTGTGGAATAAAATCAGATTTAAGATGTTCCCTGAATGCATGGCTCTTCAAAATGCCTTAATATTCTAAATATGGCATGTAACAGCATAACATTCGGGACAGATTTTTATGGCACATGTTCTTGTAGTCCCATATACATACTATGTACAGTGCTTGTAAATTTACCAAGACTAGGCAAATTTCTTATGATTTTGATGATTCTAGAACCTTGCAGTATACTTATATGATAGATGATTTACCTTTTCTGATCGATTCCACATCGTTTCTTTCACAATGCAATCACAATACCAGAATTGAACTTCAGCTTTAAGCTTTTTAACCAGATAGTTTTAAGGCGATGTTATATGTAGATCCGCGAAAGATTATCTTTCAAACTAAATAGTTACACACACTGAATTGTCCGTGACACGTGCTTGTGGGCACGTGATTGTTTGTACAAGGGCCTGTACATGAAGGGGATGGTCGCCGTATTTGATAAACATGATGATGACTCAGTGATTAATGCGCACAAGCCTGAAAAGTCCTATAAAAAGCATTACCTTTCAAGTGCGAATATACCCCTTCTATCCATATTTCTATTAATGAGGATACTTATTATCTAATCGAAATCAATGTAAATAATTTCACGAATGTCTCGCATTGGATATGGACATAGTTATCACTCGAGGTGTTAGGAAACGTAAAATCATCAGAGAGAACAAAATAAAAAAAATAAAATAAAGATAGGCGTGCCCCCTGATCGAAATTCAGTAGATAAACAAACAGAAAGACAGTGGGGGGGGGGGGGGGGGAGATTGGGACTTCAAGCATCATCCTCTACTCAATTGGTAGCCATTTCATCCGCCAAATAAGATCGATGCCATCCGCTGGTGCCAGCACCCCTCCCCCATTGCTTGGCTTACAACGCCAACACAGCGCCATTGCAACTCAAGACCTCTCAAAAGCTTATTGTTTAATCTAAAAATGAAACTAATGCATACGATCGATCATAAATAAACAAACCACTCCAATATAAATGAAATAAAATCCACTAGACCATACAGTAAAACTGGACAATAAGCAGAAAATTCGATTACTTAGCAAAAGTTAGAAGGGATGGTAGCGTAAACGTGTCATGATCTAAAAGAAGTACATGTACATATGAACACCTGTTAAACACTGCGCCTTGAAATCAGACGCGTAGTCCATTTTGAATGTTATACCTTTTCGGACCTACCTTAAAGAATTAAAATGTCAAAAAGGTATAAATAGAGGTCTGATGGAACCATGAAATCCATAATTAGTGTCCTTCCAGATACTGATCACAAGCAACCAAAGACCACTCAAAGCTGATATCATCAATATCATCATGGCAGGCCGAATCATTCTCAGCGGACTCTTGGTCATCCTGGTCCTTGCTGCTGTTTGTGCCGCACAGGCTCGTAAGTATGAACACGTTTAACCATCAGTATGGGAAACTTGAGAAGCATTTTATGCGCTTCATTTAATTTTTTTTTCTTCAAAAGATATCAGTGGCACTGATTTTTGTGGGGACATAGCAGACGAGTCAAATGCG